TTGACTTCTTTCCTTTTGATTTTCAGTTAACAAAATTATCGCATATACGTATGCTAGAGAGCTACTCTACGAAAAAGTCAATGTGTAATGGAAATTTTGAAAATGACACGTTAAGGTGAAATAACATTTCATGCTTCAAGTTTTAAACAGCAACAGTTGGGAATCTATGGAGGTGCAAAAATAGTTCTGTTTTTACAAAACAAAATAAAATAAAAGTGTAGTAAGTAGAGTCAATATTTTTAGAATAATGGGCATCTTGATGGGATCTTCTAGGAGCTTCTGACTAAGTTAAGCCTACATTCAGGAAGGACTTTGAGTCATGGTTTCACTATGCAAAGCCTTTGGTGAGAAGATGAGGTCAAGGAACTTCTGTCCTCTGAAGCATGGCCCTGTCCCCATTCTTCCAGCATACAATGTTTATGGGGCCAGGCTAGTAATGAGTTGGCAAACTTACCTATTAAAAAAAATAAATAAATAAAAAAATCTTAAAAATCTTACAATAAGTTCTTTTTAAGTCAGAAATTTCTGTGATCCAATTGAGAGCCTGGCCACATGAACAACGTTTCTGTTTTTGAATTAGTGTGTAGGTGACAGAGGGACCAAAATGAAGGAGAGAGGGGAGAAAGGATGATATAGCTGCCAAACTGTTTATCATGAAACCACAGTACTACACTCCAAAATACCTTTTCAGTTCTGAATTAGGCTCTAATTCAAAAAGGCACTTAGATATATGATGTAGCCCATCTCTGATCAGGAAGGCATTTCACCACTTGTTTAACTCCATGCACGTTTAAGTACTTTATTAACCAGGGGTCAATAGGGGAGGAATAATTCCTTGATTCAGGGATTTCAGGATCTTTACTCAAATTATCAGTGTCCAGTGACTCCCTAGCAGCAGCAGCACTGTGGATACAAAGGTTGGCAAGCACAGAATCCTGCATAGGTGCACCTGTGCAAAGCAGCAGTACTGCCACTGTCCCATGAACACCCACAAGGATTTATTCCATCTGAATAAAGTGGCTCAAATGCAGGCGTGCAGCTGTGTTTGCACACCAGGGTGGGTGGGAGTTAATGAGCAAGCCTAAGCCCTGTGACTACAATGCTGCCCCAGCTCACTGCCGCACTCTGCAAATAAATAATTGGAACTGCCCCAAACACATCTGCTGGAGACTCCAGTGACAGGCTAAAGTGGTTCCAAATCTGAAATAGATTAGATAGATAGATAGATAGATAGATAGATAGATAGATAGATAGATAGATAGACAGACAGACAGCCATTAAAAAAATAAGAAACTGAAAACTGCACATGGTCTTTCTCAGGGAGAAGAGCCTAGATGAGCACATTACATATCTTTGCATCTGTTAAATGCTCCTTCACCACATGGCAGTGCTAATTATCATTAGCCTGAACAGTGGCAGGGCTCACCCCAGTTTTGTGGCTTAGCAGAGGCAGGCAGAATGAGTCAGTGTCACTGATGAAAACCCCTGACATTCATGGTTTGATGTTGGATTGCTGTGTCTCGTGTAGTGCCACTAGCTCTGCTTTTGATTAGGATGAAAGAAACTCAAGTGTCTCACATTTCACTTGAAGATGAAAAGACTCGGGAAACCTCTTGGTTCCCTTGAAATAACAGCCCATTTCATGGCAGTTTTCAGTTTCAACTCCTGTCTGTAGCTATTTAATGTATAAACAACTCTTGAAATGGCCAGTGTAGTTGTGTTGTTTTTTCAAACCCCTGCTTCTACAAGACACAGCTGTTGGGCTTACAGAAAGCTTGTTCCTAGTGTAAATGCCTGGTGTAAATGTGCACATCTAATGTCAATACATCAAATGTTGCCACAGTGGCAACATGAGCTCTCCTAAATGTTTTCACAAGCACTGAAGTTTGTATTCTGTGCTCCAGACATTTCCAAGAAATGTGCTAGTGTGAGGACCTGCTTCTGACACATCTATATGGGCAGTGCAATAATTCCAGTGTAGCAGTTTTTGGCTTTAGGGTATGGAGATGCTTTGGATACAGCCTCTTCATGTCCCTGTTTCCTGTGCTATTGAGGGTAGGGGGTCTTCCCACAGCAGCCCTGTTATATCAAATGAATTAAGAACACTAATATTTTTGCTCCCATTGGCATATTTAGCCTCATGTCTAAGGCTGCATATGTGCTTAAGGGTCCATATTTTTACAGCTCATTTTCTTACAGGCTTGATGTTACTCCTCCTCAGACACACATGGCTGCAAATGGCCAGGGGGCTTAAAAAAATTAAGGTGAAGAAGGTGGTGGGAATGGGCAGAGACATGCAAATAGCACTAATGCATTTAGTCTCTTTGCTTTCCAACAGGTAAAAAAATGCATGTATGAGTGACAGCCTGTCCCATTTTAACATTTGCAGTTCCACTGGCAGGACCAGTATAGAAGCAAAATGAAGTTTTCTTCTGTGAGCTGGGAGATGAGTTTTTTAGTGAGGGCTTTGGGAAGGACTCAAAGGGAGAAAGTGCTGGCATCAATCCAAGGGAGATGAATTAAGAAGGGAAGGTTGGCGAAGCACTGAAGGGAGGAATAAATGAATTGCTTGCACAATGTGGATAGCCCACTCTTCCCATAACATGACTGCTGGCAGTGATGCTTCTTATTGGGCCTGCTCACTTGCTTTGGGTCACTACCACCACCACCCCCAATCTTTAAATAGTGCACTTATTTAATTTGAAGAAAGTGCCTGCAATCAATAAGAAGAGATCCTTTTATCTTCTTCATCAATCTTTTGCTAATGAACATGCACTTTTTTTTTTTTTAGCTTCTTGGTTACAATGCTTTTAATTTCTCAATGTATAGGAATAAGGGTGCGCCATCAAACACATGATGGAGCAGCTGATACCACATATTGCTGCTTGCTTCTTTCTGAAGAATTGGCATGGTCTTAAAGGAAAGGATTAATTTGTGGGAAGTTCATTTGCCCTGCACTGATGTGTGGTCTTCTAAGCATCCTTTCTTAAGCTGTGATCCAGCAGAGCTGTGAATAACCACTTATGAAGACATACTTTACTTTCCTAATGTCCCAGTAGTTGCAAGAAAGTATATAATTCTTACAGAATCTTTGCGTGGGCTACTGGGACTTTATTTAAAGCAGATGTATATTGGAAATCCAGTGGCTTCCATGAGAATGACTCACCAAACCTAATTTCCAAAACCTCCAGCAAGTTTGGGTCTGATTATGGCATGACCAAAAGTTCATCTGAGTTAAATGGTGCTTGCTGCTCTGATTTATAGGATGTTGCCAGCTTGCTCATCCTCATCACAGACTGGAGGTTAATGCTGACTATGGCTTTGTGTCCCTCCTTGAGTGTTTTGGGAGTGGAATTTAGCAAAATAACACTTGATTCTTCAAAAAACACTTCACAAAATAGAATTACAGTTTGGTAAGACTCTGAGTTTCAACCTGTCACTTACATATGGCAAGAGTCCAAATCTCAGTCACAGATTAGCTTCATTAGTGTAGAATCACACTACTTCTGCCTCTAAGCTGAAGAGACCCAAGCCACATAATAAGCAGAAACAAATCTTTGCACAAGGACCTAACCAAATTACAAACAGGCAAGTAATTTCCTTCCTTATCCTTCTACATTGCCTACCAATGGTCTACGCTAGTAAAACTTTGTTACCTCCAAGGTCACCATCTGTCTCCTTTTCTGCCGCAGTCTCCCTTTCTGTTAACCAGCTCTTAGCTCTTTTCAGAGTCACTCTTTTCCGAGTCACTCTTTTCCTTCAACCTGGGCAAGACCCCATGTTAAAGCACAGTATGCCAGTGCCAGCAGGTAACCGCAGAAATGTAAAAGGCTCGAAAAGCTGCAGGAAAGTATTTCTGCTTTGCCGTAGGGATGGGGTGTAGCAGAAAGAACCCCCAAAATCAGCAAGCTGTACCTTCAGCTTACAGTCGCGTGAGAGACCATCACCCTCTACCACAGCTACGAGAGCTGGCACGAGAGGCAGCGTGTTTCCCTAGCAGCCTAGATGCGGTAAAGATCGTGGAGTTGTATTTTTGTCCAAAAGGTCCCTCAGGAGCCAGCCCCGTGCAGTACCGGGCTGCAGCACTGCGGGCAGGCTCCGTGCTGCCTCTGGTTGTGGCTACCTTCGGAGCGGGGCAGGGAAGCAGCCTGGCCCATGATTCAGCAGTGCCTTTCTCTCAGTGTTGGCCGGGGAGCACCCGGAGCCGCCAGGCCCCTCCGAAGGCAGGGCGACTGCAGAAGGGCTGGGGGCGAGGCATCTCTGCAGGGTGTCCTGGTGAGGGGAGGCGAGGAGGAGGTGTGAGCAGACCTCTATCCTGCGCGGTGCTGGAGCCCGCAGCCTGCGCGGCGGGGGAAGGGACCTGACGCGGCGGAGGGTACTGCAGCCTGGCCGGGAGCCAGCCACGCAGCGGCTGCGGAGGGTGAGGGTGGTTGCCGGCCGGGAGGAACCGGGGCGGGCTGAGAAAGGGCCCCTTAAAGAGCAAGGGAGGTAGCAGGAGCTCCGTTTAGCCAGGAAGGCTGGGGTGGGCAGGAAAGACCCTTTCCCTGGTCCCTGCGAGGCTGCAGGGTGAGGAGGCGGGGGGGGATCAGTGTTCCCACATGCAGGGAGCCCTGCTGGAAAGGTGTCTTTCCGGGGTCCCCAGACAGGAGACGCAGAGGTGGCTGCGGTCTGAACCCTAACAATCTGCCTCTCCATCCAGCTGCGTAGCCTTATGCAGGATTACTTCATAGCAAACCTCGTAAGAAAGGTGCAAGATCTCCACGTGCATTTCTGTTCACCTCAGCACCAGAAAGATGTGAGCAAAGGAGAAACATAATTTGAAGGAGTGTAGTTAAACGTTGAGTTATAGTGGAGATCACGGAGGACCTGAATACAGGTAGTTTGCCTATAATGCCAGTGCAGGGAAGATGTAGTCAGGGCAATGGGTCAAATAGAAGCACAGAGCAGCATCAGTAGGGAAAAATTGCCTTACTGGAAATAGGAAGGTTGAAAAATTAGACATGGATAAAGAAGGCAAGGCTTTTTCAAAAATTCGTGCCAAACACAAGCGGTATCTCATCTGTGCAATGAAGAGAGTATTCCCAGCTGGTTCTCAGCTTGCACTCTGCTTTGAAGAGTGATTCTTCAGCTTCACGCCTGAGGAGCAACTTGTGTGTGTGAAAGTACGCCTGATTTTCATGGATTTATCAGTTAATCTAGTAAAAGATATGTTCTTTCCCTAGAAACCTCGCTTACTTGTACCCACAGACCACCACAGCTGTCACGGCTATACTGCTGTGATGTTACCATTTCTACAGTGGCTGTGTTGTTATTGCTGTTTGAAATAGGTTTTGAGATACTTGAAAGAGGCTGCACTCGTGCAGAATATTACCAGCTAAGGAGCACATATGCTTTGTAGTAAGAGGAGCCATGTATGTAAATATGCAATGCAAGCTGTTTGTTCTCTCTAAGGTTACTGCTCACATCATTAACCTGAGGACCAGACATTTCAGTGGTAGTGTAGACTAGATTGTATGATGATTTATCTCCTTACATTCTTCCAGAGAGGGTTATCACTGGCTCTGCTTTAAGGTGAATTCTCCAGGCACTTGAATGTAGTAGCATCATGATTACTCCAGTTGGCTACTACAGCCTCACAGGAAGCTTTGTGATCAGACATCCAACAATTAGTCCTTGACATGACAATCCATGAAAACTCTATGGGATTCATTGAGATTTTGAGAAACTTTTCTTTAGCAAATGTTACTAATGTTCTCATGAAAGGGACGAAGGGAGTAAGGGGGAGTGGGGGAGTTGGAAACGGAGAGAGGAGATGGGTAGAGACAGATGTCTTTTCCGTCACTACCAAAAATATGTAAGTACTAAGGAAACTATCTTTTGGATGCCTGACTAAGGTAGCAGCAAAAATGAGTTCAGGGCAATTTGTAGCCCTTGATTATTTGTTTCCTTATGCATCCTCCAGCCCTTTATACTAAGGAAAAAGGGGGATTTATGCTGCCAATTCCTTAATGCAAATGTTTTCACAAAGTCCAAGGAACTAGAAATTGGGTTTAAAGCCCCTCTCCTTTCACACGTATGTCTGTGTTGTTACTTTTCTGTGGAAGACAAAAGAGACTGGGAATACAGCTGATACTAATCTTACTTTTATTATCTTAACTGGACTGTTGATTTACCCTAGTATTACACTGCACTGGTGGAAATTAGTGCTAGGTATTGGTAGAGGTCAGGAATAACAGACAAATTTAAGAACAAAGCAGAAATCTTGTTAATAATAAAATTACTTGATTCCCTCCCCTTCCCCCCCCTCCCCCCCCCCCCCCCCCCCCCCATCTACTGGGGAGTGAGAACATATGCTGGCAGCATGCAAGCTCTTGAAAAGTATGTTCAGGAGCTGGCTTTAGTGTGAAGACTTTGATGGGTTTGGAAAAGGGGATTCCAAAAATGGACTATAAAAAAAAATACGCAGACCTCTATAATAAGTTAACTGCAAATTTGTCAGAGGCTGGAATGCTTTGGGTTTGGGGTTTTTCCCTCTCTGCTTGACCTAAGATGCATCCCAGCATTATTCCTAGCAAACAAAACTTAGGGGCTTGGAAGGAGAAGCTGTCTCTAGGTGTCAGGCAGGGAGAAACTGCTGCTGGAAAGCTGTCTTCCCCCTGGGAGAGATCGGGTATCCGGCTGAGAGAGCCCAGTCCATCGCGGAGCCTGACTCGGGCCGCAGTACCGTGTGTGTCACCGATGGCCGCCACCTCAGCGGGGGAGAGAGGCAGCGGCGGGCGCGCAACTCCTGCAAGCTCCCTCCCTTTGATTTGATGGCCTTTATTCCTCCTAATTGGATAAAATAGGAAGTCACTGACAGTCCTGCGTTGCCGGGTGTACTGATTTCCCTCAGACCAGCCCTGCAGAGGGCGGGGGGTGGGGTAGGGGAGGAAGGAGCAAGTCTACATCAGGGAAACAGGCTGCGAGGGGGCTGGGGGAGTGGGGCGGGGGGGAAGGAGGAAAGTGAATGAGAGCTCAAGAAGGACAAAGAGGGAGGGGAGAGAAAGGGAGTTACCACCGTCTTGGCATCGCTCTTCCTTTCAAACCTCTGTGTAATGATATTGTTTGCAGTGATGCTCAGACAGCGAGCACCTGCTGCTCTGTAATGATTCAGCCTCTTTCAGCCTCTGCTGTAACACGACAGGATGCTGCTGCTACTGTCACTTCTGCCGCTGCCGCCGTTGTTACAGATTTTGCTTTTGCTCCTTCTACCGCATGACAATTGTTTTCCTCGTCTAAGCAGATACCAGCCTCAGATGCTCAAGGTGAGAGTCTTGCCTTTCGCTCTGGGCTACTGGTTCACTTAATTTGCTCAATTTGTTCAATGTTCGTGGCTTTCTTTCTCTCTTGACCCTCCTTCACCTTGTTTTGTTTTGTTGTGCTTGCTTCTGGGGGGATGTTTCTTCCCTCCTGCAGAAGAGCTGGAATTGCTTGAGAGGTATTTAAGGAATTATAGAAGAGGCCAGCAAACAGGAGCTCAGTAATTGCAAAGCTAGTCTTGCTTCGGAGAGGCAGAGAGAGCGACAGAGGGTTCGGGGGCAGGGGTGTGTGTGTCTCTTTTTTCCTGCGTGTTACTCCTCTCCCAGTTTGGATGATGTTGCTGAGCTTGGACCTTTTATTGACTCCCACTCTGTGATTTCTGCAGAGCACTGTGACTATTACGTCTCTTTTTGTCTGTGTCTCATAGTAATGGACTGTGATAGAGTTAAGGCCTTTTGGAGGTGAGCTGTTTGAGAGCTGATGCTTAAACATGTCTGAAGTAGCTGCCGACACTTTCCCCAGCCCCTCAGCTCAGCTGAGCCCTGATGCGTCCCTTAACGGGCTCCCGGCTGAGGAGAACATGCCGGGGACCCAAAGAGAGGACAGGAGGGTCCAGGGAATAGCAGGCCTTGCCGCGACCTGCTGTGTGTGCCTGGAGGCAGAGCGACTGAAGGGCTGCCTCAACTCTGAAAAGATCTGCATCGCCCCTATCCTGGCTTGCCTGCTCAGCCTTTGCCTCTGCATTGCTGGCCTCAAGTGGGTCTTTGTGGACAAGATTTTTGAGTATGACTCTCCTACCCACCTTGACCCTGGGAGGATAGGACAAGACCCAAAGAGCGCTGTGGATCCTACAGCTCTGTCTGCCTGGGTGCCTTCGGAGGTGTATGCCTCACCCTTCCCCGTACCTAGCCCCAAGAGCAAGGCTGAAGTGACAGTGCAAAATGACAGCTCGTTTGTGCCCTCCAAACCATTCCTCCAGCCTTCTCTGTATAACCGCATCCTAGATGTTGGGTTGTTGTCCTCTGCTGCACCTTCGCTGTCACCACACGCCCTGGAGCCTACCACAACGTCTCAGGCGCAAGCAACAGAAACCAATCTCCAAACTGCTCCAAAACTTTGTAAGTAGAAGTTATGTATTTCTTTGTTTTTCTCTTCCAAAAACAAAACAAAACAAAAAAGAAAAGAAAAGAAAAAAGAATAAAAAAAGGCACTTAACAGTTCTGCAGCTGTCCTTGAGGGGTACGTGATTGGCATGAAAACTTAAATGTGCTAGGACAAGTATAGCAGGGTTACCTTCTCAGGAGAGCACCCAAGGGTCTCTGAACTTAGTTCCGAGGTGTGCATGGCAATTGAAGAGGGCTTCATTTGAGACCTTTGTAAAGTGCCAGTACCACCCTCTTCTCTGCATCCACTGGTAGGAGAGTATGTGATTTACTTCAAGGGTTTATTTGATGACTATTCCACATGGTCTATCAATATATTTTTCTTATAAATTTGTTTTGCGTCCCGTGTTGGATCTTCTATGTGTGTTCATTTTCTCCTACTTGTCTGCAGAGCACTTCTGCTACCTCCTTCCTGAAGTCTGTTGCTGGCAAACACCCTTATCATCCTCCTGAAACACTCAGGGAGAACAGTAGGAAAGAGCAACAGCGTATCTGAAGCAGTTAGAGACTGGGAATTATTAATTTAGCAGCTGCCTTATGATCTCTCCCTTCCCTTTAAAAGCATAGTACACATTTCTCTGCATCCTTCCCCTCCTCTAGGAGCTGATGCTCATTGAACCTGTTTCTTAGGCATTGCCTCATTGACTTTTGTGGGGCGTTTCAGGAAAGCATTCTTACCAGTGCAGGAGGTCAGTTTTCAAATTAGTATTTGCTCATCCTTAAAGCAAAAAATATCCAGGGTACCTGTATTATTTTCTCAGTAGCAATCAGAAAGCCTCCAAATACTGCATTGCTGAAGTGTAATTTCTCTGACATTCATAATTTTAACCCATTAAATCCAGAGCAGATCAAGCCAGCAATTCCTGGGCTGTGTAAAATTGCGCAACCCTGGTAGAAAGAGAAGGCAGTGCCCTTGTGCTAAGAGCACAAGGCTGAGGTTTCTTTTGAAAAGCTGCGGTGAACCTGATGAGCATTGTGTTCCTTGCAAATTTCCATGCAGGCCCCCATCTCATTTATTCTCCCTCATACCTTCTCTGTAAAGCTGCAGGATGGCCACATTATAGGTCGTATATACTGGACATCACCCTGGAAACCTGAAATGACCAGAAGTTTGGTACTGAGTTTAGCCCCACCAGGACTGGACTCAGTATAGATACGTGGTGAATGGAATAGATGTAACATTTAGGACCAGCCACTTTGCAGATGAAAATGAGCGCAACTACAGTGATTTCAGTGGAGGTCCTTTCAGCACAGGCAGTCCTGAACTGCAATTCCAGAATCACTGAAAGAAAATTCTGAGTATTCCAGTAGAAGCCCTTCTGCCTTTTGCTTAGATAATGGATGACAACCAGCCTTTTGGATTAAAAGTAATTTGTCTGATGGAAACAGTCTACTAGAGGAATACTGCTGTGGATTTCAGTGATAGGGGGCTTTGTTGTAGTACGTCAGACATTACTTGAATTATTAGGACACTTAAACACCTTTGCAGTTATATAGAATTATACTATGTGATTTATTTTTTTTTCGTCATTGATGCAGAATTTTTTTTTTCTTTTTGTAGTGGAAATCATGACATTAAAGATATGACAGCACTTTCTACTTCATAAAGTAACCAGGGACCACCATTCAGTCAAAATGGCCTCTCTCCTGTGACAGGGAAAAGTAACCAAAAGATAGTTATGCCAGGACAACCCTCATCCTCTTTAATTTCTACATGTAAGGCAAGCCTTTATCAATAAAATGCTAACTTTGTCTCTGAAGTAAATGAAGGGGAGTGGGTGAAAAAGAGATTCTTTGGAGCAGTCACTGACAAAAAGCCATTATGTACATTCAGATATACTCACATCTGGGAAATAAATTGTTGCCTAGAAATTAGGTGATGGAATTGAGTTGTTTTGGGGTTTGTTTGGTTTTTTTTTTGTTTGTTTGGGTTTTTTTTTTTTGTTTGTTTGTTTGTTTTTTTACTGTTTTTTAATTTTTTTTAATTTTCTTAGGATAAATGTGTTTTAAGGCATCATAGACTTCCAGATAGCAACAGACTGAAAGGAGAGGAAGAACTGACAGCAGGTCAAGTTTAGGTTAATCTGAGAGAGAATGTTGTGTGGACAGTATTTATTCCAACTATGGCACATAATTCTGACTATGGCATGGAGCTGCAATTCCCTGCAAAGAAAAATAAGAAAATACAGCTGGAAAAGTATACTGCAGAAGATATGCCTAAGAATTCAAAGAGGCATGAAAAGAACTTTTTGGACAGCTCTAAAAGCACTGTCTTGGGGGTTCTGAAACAGCTGTTTTTCAAACACATCATTGTGTTTTATGTAGAGCAAGATTTGTTGGAGAGGTTGACAGATTGCATCTGTGATAACTTTTTTTTTTATGAAAGTCTTTGACAGCTATAAAACTCTGAGAGAGATGGCTTGGAAAGCAGCATCTGCAAACTGAATTGTCCCTTCTTTTGCCTCTCAGTGTCCTTTTTTTCCATTTCAGGCAAGGTGAGATAACTTGTTCCCAGAAAGCCCCTTTTGTGCTTTTTTTTTTCCAGTGCAGAAATAAAAAAGAACTGACACAACTCATATTCCGTGGCTGATGTATCGTTTCTGAACCAAGCCCTTCCATGAGTTTCCAAATCCTTTTCTTCTCCTCTCTTTTCTGTCTTACTCAGCATATTCCCCTTAAAGCTGTATCTGTCAAGGTCATAGTCTGCAAAGAGCTAATTGATTCTTCTTTCTCCTGAAGCCAGGGAGGGAAAGCAGAAGAGAGACAATCCTAGTAATTGTGTCTGGTGCATTAGATTGAAGACTGGTCTCACTACTATTATTATAATTTGCCCTTTATTGATAAAGAAATAATCTCTTCGTTTCTGTTTCGTTTAGGTTTTATATTGTAGTATCATTTTGCCTTTGCTGAAATAGAAAGGAAAGGTGAATGTTTTAAACCATTCCCATATTTAGGGAGCTTGTCAATCTTACCATAATCACATCAGAGAAGATTTCATTACAAGTGGGATATAATAGTAAGCACTAACCTACAATCTCCCTCCCTCCGAGAAGACATGGAGATTGCAAAAGTGCTAACACAGTTTAGGAGCTAAATTTTACTTCTTCCTACACCATCAGTTTTAAATTCAGTTCCACCCTTTACCCAGGCTGATAATAGATGTGCCTCTGTAGTACTGTCAAAACTGTGTTTCTGTAATAACTGGATCTCTACATCTGCATACCAGCCACTCCCTTTAAAGGTCTTCCCACTGCCTGTTCTTTCCATTTCAGCAGATTTCTCCCAACATCACCCACCAAGGTCCATGTGGGGTTGCCATTGCAGAGTGACAGCTCTGCCAAAGGAGTGCTGCACTCCCACATTTTGGCTCTGCCCTGAAGCAGAGGTGCCTGAGCCCTTGGCTTTGGGATCACAACTCTCCTGACTTGGTGAAGTGCCGCAGGGCACACAAGAGGCAGGGCAGGAGAAAGACCACAACACAAACACTGCTGAAGTGGGTTTCTCCGGGAGAAACTCCAGATCAAAAAGCCTGGCAGGGAGCAGGGTTCAGAGGATGCCATCTCCCTGGTGGCACATCCATGCTGCTCCTCTGTCTTTTCTGCTCTTGGCTTCCCTGATGTCATGGTTTAAACCCAGTCAGGCAACTTGTTCACTCACTCCCCTCCTTCTTTCCCTCCCCCTATTTATACTTCAACCATCGTCCTCCGTACCACAAATTATGCAGTCGAGTTTCATGCTCTACCAATTGAGCTAGCTGGGCCTGACCATCCTGTGTGCCATGTGCTGCTGGGCCAGCTGCATGCCTCATGGCATGCTGTTGGCCAGTGGATGACCAACAGGCACATCTCCATCTCCCTACCTCTGTGCCTACAGAGTTGTGCTGGCCGTAAGACACTCGAGGGTGAGTGTAGCAACAGACTTGTGCATTCCCCTTGGGTCAGGCAGGGCTCCCTTCTACCTCATCA